ATGTAATTGGAAAAGTGAGACCCATGGAATGGTTGTGGTGTTTTGATAGTGATCGAGGAAGGTTGCTAGGATTCCATTTTCGCACGTAGGCACAGTCAACTATAAATACTAAGTCTAATATAACAAAGTCAATCATAAATCATCGTCCTGTAGTCCCTGGCATGGACAAGCTTTGGTTCACCTTCGGCAGGTCAAATCCTAACCTCTGCGGCGTAAATTGAAGGCAGTTGGCACTATAAATTGCTAAGACGAGTAGGATCGCCTGGCAGAGCAATTTCGCGCCTCTGTGCAGGCGCTGTGTAGCGCCTTTTCCAAGGAGTACTCTCATAAGGCCTATCAAGCTGCAACATCCGGACCCACCGCTCCTGCCCGCCCACAAATGGACGACCGTACCTGATGCTCGTATTGCTTCATTTGCGAAGTAAAATATGAAGCGAAGGGATTGATATGAAGCGGCCGCGGTGCTGCATGGATATATGAGTACATACGTGCAGCGTATCTACCGTAGCGGTTATTGGCAAGATGCCTACGGAAACTCGTCCGAAATCGCTTCTTGAATCATTGAAAACGAAGGCTTTTCTTCGCAGGTTTTTGACCGTTTCACTCGTTTTTTTTTGCCAATTTCCCACTATATAGTACCCTGTTTTGAACGAGTACCAAATAAGCGTACCATATACCCCTAAGTACCTAGCGGCGTTGCCCTGCGCCAAACTCATCCCGCCTGACACGCCCGAACGTCCGCAGCGAAGTCACACTAGTGGTGGACTCGTTCGTTAACGAATGGCATGAAGTTCACCATGTGTCCTCGAGCAGAGAAACCCATTGGGCAACTCTTGCATGTTGCAGCGCGCACGAATGGAGACGTTTACTGGCGCCCCGCACTTCGAGGACGAACTACGCATCGATCACACGGGATGCGCCCAGGTGGGACAGCTTAACTGTGGAGCCACACCGCGTGAACCCGTCGGAGCCAACGATAATGCATCAAGACGTCCGCTCAGGCTTTCAGAAGAGAAGTCTAGGACCGATCCACACCGGCGAAGGGCCGAGATCCCACGTGTCACCGCTCAGCAATGGACTAGGTAAGTAAATTCATGACAGACAGACTGAACTACAAGAGAGGGCCGAGGCGGTGCCGTGAATATGGCGTCGGTAAATAGTGGTAATTATTTCAAATCACAGTTATCACGATAAGTCTAGCAATCCATTCCAGATCCCTGCCATTTCGAATACATGGCTCATTGCATGCTGGATAGCACGTCCTATCCTTTCTTTTTTTCCATGAAATAAGTCTAATAATCTATATTTGTTAATAATATTTATTACTAAAATAGTATATCTACTGACTTATAACATCTAAAGTTCGTCTATTGTGATATTGTGCTTTGACTCATGTTTGTAGAACCACGGTATCCTGCTCTCTTTGCCGCTATCAGAGTAACGCGTATCCTGCAAAGGAGCACCAGGACCACACAGAGGAGGACTGAGATGGCAATTCCACAGAGAATGAGTATGATGGCTGCAACGCTGAAAAACTGCATCTCTTAGGGATCACAGTCTTGTTCGTTGCAGATGCTGAGCGTGTCAGGAGCTGATTTTGGCGGGGCGCAAGCCCAATTTCCATCAGCTGTTCTCTTATCTCCCTTGAAAAATTGATAGAGAACAGCAAATTTGGCCCCTGGCACGCCCTAGCGTCTGCAGTGAACAAGATTAAATACATGATCTTCATGAAAAAAGGACACATGAAAGTTTCTTTGGTCAGCATGGCCCTCGTTGGAAGAAATGACCCCACGGGTGCCGCTTCCCAAAGGAGTCGCGCAGATAATGCCTCCAAAGGCGTTTTGTTGGCGCTGTTCGGCTTAGAGAGGGGGAGGGGACTTTGCGCTTCCGCTAGTTCTTTTTATTATTCATGTCAACAGGATAGTATGCCGAAAGCTGGGTAAGTGCCCCCACCCTTCGTTCAACCCGAGGTAAGCTCTGCTGAGCATAGCCTATTCGGGGCTATTCACGGTCAGGGGATATTAATGAGAGCGTTGAACCAGTTGGGGCATTGGCACCATTCCTCTCAAAAAATCGAACTCATGGCGCACACCAAACAACTGACACCCGGACGTTCTCTCAGCGACGCCTTTTCATTACAAACTAAACACCTACTTTACTTGTTTCGTTTTCTTTTTCGGGACCATCGGTTCCTCTGATGTAACGACCTGCTTGTGAGGCTGTTCCTTCGTAGTAACAACTACCTTAACAGATTTCCTTACTTTCCCCTGGAACCTTTTTTACCCTTGTTTTTCTGTCCAAAGTATTTTCAAAAAATGGGGGGGGGGGGCGGACGGATCAAGGAGCGCTAGGAAAAATGCCATGATTTGGCATTCTTGTGATACCTCTTTGGGATTCTGTGGTGCTTTACCAGTTTTGCTTTGACGTCAACGCTCAGCATTGCCTTGAGGGCATTCCGCATTGCTATTCTTGCACTTTGGGGCCCAAACACGAAATTCTGGATGCCAACGTTTTGTCAGTGAATGAAAGAGAGGTTGAAATGAGAATGCCGGATAAGGCTTCCATTTTCAGTGTTGGACGAACAATCGAAGAAGTGAGACAGTGTTAGTCGAGCGAGGGAGCGGAGACAAAGGGTGAGAGAATAGAAGAATTTTGAAACGAGAGAATACGTCTTATACAGAATGAATGCGGTGCGCCGCGCCTGTTTACAGCGTCAGTACGTCTCGTCTCCAAATAAGCGAACCGTTCTGCGGATGGTTTCCTCCAGAATGTGGAGCCCACAACGGTCTCGTCAGCTGCCAAGCGGCGAAATTAGGGCAGTCTCAGAGGAGCGTACTGGGCGAGCAAGGGTTTTCGTATCCTAAAGATGGAGCGGGCGTGGCTGCAGACTCTAGTTGAATGTAGCGGCGGCTGCGCTATTTGTGGTGATGTTGCCGTTTCGGAGCATTCGTGTTCAATCTGTTGTCCAGCGAGAGCTAGAATGACAGTTGCCTCGAACGGGAGCCTTTCATGAGAAAAGTGTCTTACGCAACGTTCAGATGAAGTACACGGCCACGCCTATTCCATCTTTGGGATATGGGGTCTACGTGCCAGAGCATACGTACCCCTCGTAGCGTGGAATCCCAAGGTAGGCTTAGTTACGAAGTTGAACCCATGGAACATTTCTGAGGGCGCGAAGTTGCCCATGGTAATTATGCTGAATTGCTGCTTCACTCACCGCGTCAGTCGCGTTGAAAAGCTCTACTGTCAGGATCTCTCCAGTAGTTGTCATCGCAGGAATAGTCGTCTCTTCTGCAGAAGTGGTCGCTTTTTTAGTAATGGTAGTCTTTTTTCCAGTGCTCGCCATAGTGGTAGTACTTTTTCTGGTGGTCGCCGATTTCGTCGTTGTATGCTTTTTCGTGGTGCTTTTATGCGGCTTCGACTTGTGTGTTGTAGTTCGGTGCGGTTTGTGTGATGAACGGTGGCCTGGTTCCTTTGAGGGTTTTGACTTTGGTTCCGGGTTATCTGGGACAATAATATCCCAAGGTGATTGTTCTGTGGTTCTTGCACCTTTTGGGGGAGGTTTTTTTGGAGGTTTTCCTTTGCCTCTATCTCCTTTGCCAAGTACATCAGCCATATTCCCCTGACCTTTTTTACTTTTTACGTGCAGTTTCCGCCCGACTTTCGGTTCGTTTTGGAACTGTTCATGAGTGCGGGAATCGGAGATACTTTGCAATACTTCATCAGCTCCATAAGAGAGCGATTCTGAAGGAGATCTACGTAACTTGTGAGGCCTGTCCGAGTTTGTTGTGTCTGTTCCCAGGTGGATCTAGACGTTGATCTGCTTTAATGAGGTCGTGATCCGCTTTGTTCTGAAAAAGCATTGAATCAAGGTGAAAGTTACACTTCGACGTTGCCGTTTTATAGCATTGAAAAAAAATTGAAGGCGCTAGAAAACCATCAGCCGATAGAAGCTTATCACGCAGCCTCTGATTCGCTTGCCAAAAGCATCGAAACGTGCGAAAACGTATGGCGAAGCCAGGAAATGATCTTTTATGGGTGAGGGAAACGGGATTTTTCAAGGGAGGGGACTCCGGGTGGGTGAGCTACTTATAGTCGGTGAAAAGCTGGAGTGAGCGAAGTCACAACGGCCATAGAGTGCCATGCGGACGAGAGAGTGCAGAGAAAAAGAGAAGATCGACGCGTTCAAAGGAATTGAGTTCAAGTTGTCCGTAGACCAGCTGCCATGCAGTGCAAAGGCTTTTTCGCAGGTTTTGACGTTTAACTTCGCTTCTTCGTCATCCCCCCGTAGCCCTTTTGCTACTACTTCTACCAAATTATCGTGCCTTATGTCTTTAGCGACTTGTTACGCACTCTAAGCACAAAGGACCTTTAGCAGGCGCTGTGTGGCGCCTTTTTCGACCAAGAGCACGGGTATAGAACCTAACGAAGGTGCAACATGCGGAAATGAGGCTCAAGGGTGATGATAAACGAATGCCGTTTGGAGATCCGCCCACGCTATCGTCAAGGTGCAGCACCTGTCTTGAATCAAAATCCCGCAGTGAACACGCACAGAGTCAGAGAACAAGCAGATGTGAGAGGGCGGAGACAACCGAAGTGCTGGATTATGGTTAGGCCTGTGTCGACCGCTCCATGGTCTGCAAGATCTTTCCTATTAAGGACAGAGTCTGCTAAAGTGCTCAGTATAAGACAGGCTACATATGCAGAGCCGTTTCTGATTCCCACGCCCACATGTACAGGCTCTATTGTTACTTCAGTCTTCTCCTGGAGCTATAACATTAACACGCGTAGACCTTGCAGTGGCGATTCACGTCAGGATATGCTGCGCCCTAGTTTCTAGTGAGCTTTCTCATCTAGCGCTACTATAACGTAAGATTTAAACTCACATATGGTATCAGAAGAAATAGTAGTAAGGAGGGATGGAGCCATAAGTAGATGAATCCTGGAAGTAATTCTTTCTCTCTTCTGTGGATATACCACGAGAAAAGAACAACTTTTTTTGTCAGGAGGCACAGCTTGTACAGCGTTTTTTTGTGGGATCGCTTACGCCGACCCAACCGTTGCACCATACGATCTGTAGGCCTCACACTCCGAAATGAGTGAGCGTGACTGCATACTTTATTTAAGCGCAACGGCAGCTGCCCTCTTGAGTAATATGCCGCCGTTTTGAGACTGGACAGTACACTACCTAATACGAGAGATGTCTCATAAAAAAGCATATCCGAAATTGCGTTCTTATGAAGCATGCTGCCACGCCCTCCTTCGAAGTGCACTTCAGTGCTGTCGCTTTGTACTGCTTATGGGCATAAAAAGCCGCTCTGACTAATGTGGGCTGAGTCCTACTTGCTTTTGGGCCGCCACCACCATTCCAACATTGGCTTTCAGGGGGCGTGGGCGGGGTGGCCGGTGGGATCACTGGGCCCGACATTCTCCTTTCTACAATCTTACCTAAACGCGATATCAAATGGCTTGTCCGCTGGCTTGGTTGACACAATACAAACCAAGCGCTAAGTTTCTGGGCAGTAGCCAGAATCGAGATCCTCGTCCCTTCCCCTCTCGGCGTTCCTAGCTCTTATTCCTCTGCATCCAAGCACCCTTTCTAGTGCTGTTCTGTCACTTTCCGCCTATGACCGTTAGTCACCTTGAGGTACCTTGAAGTAGGTCGTAAGTCAGCCTGATGGACTCGCTTGGAGCCAGATAGAGCTCATTCTGCTCATTCTCTCAGCTCCGAGGCAGCTGGATTAGGCTGTGTACACGATCAGTACGGTCCAGAACTCCTCCTTTGAGTCTATGCTGGCACTCATGATTCAACCACTTATCCTGTTCACGGAGGGCATAGCCATGCTGCCTTCAAAGATTCGCGACACCGCTACGGCCACCTATTCACGTTTTGTTGTATGCCACCATTTATCATAAGAGAGTTTGGCCCCTTCTCCGATTTCGCGAGCATTGGCTCCTTTCCAGCGTGTTTCCCAGATATATGGGGCTTCGATGTTTCTGTGTTTCATCAATCCAGCCACCTCTCGGGATTTTCCGCCAGCGGCAACACGTTCAAAGTCCGAATTTGAACTTGCTCCTATGATCGAGGTCACTCACTCCTTAAGTAACCCTCGCATACCGGCCACAGAACTCGTATGAGGGTCTGCGCGTATTCTCCTGGTGACTTCCTAGCTTTATCACTCGTTCTCTTGCAACCTTCGGACATGGTTTTAAATTGTGAATTGGTTGTTGCATTAGGCACAGTCCCTGTCACACTGGGCCTGATGGCTTGTAGCGGAGCGGCCATTTTGTGCAATCTTACGCAAGGCATGTTTATTGGGCCTCGGATAGGAATCGATTTAGTATTGAGTAGAAACAATAGAAAAGAACCACTTTGGATCACGTTCTATATCTGGGACACCGTCACTTCTAAGGAACCTCCCCAATAAGGGTCCGGTCACTGCTTACTGTCAGGAAGGGCGGAGGGGGGCGGAAAGCTATGCTTAGCGCTAGACACCACAACCAATCTGCAATTCAACGTAGCCCTGTGCCACACAACTAGTAAATTTTCAATCCACGCGGTGGCTTCGAAGCCTAACAATCACGGGGATGAACAGAGGCGGTAATGAGGTAACAACAAGTAACAGGTCTCCACACAAACGACACATCGCGAGATCATTAGGTGATCGCAGAAATGGGCGTGGACTCATAAACATGGTGCCGCTCTCATTGGTTTGTCGCTTGTGCTGATACGCCGACGAAAAAAGGTACAAATGTGTGTCTCCGCCTACTGCACTATCCATCCGATTACCGCGGAATGTGGCTTCAACCTCTAGAGAAATTTCTGCCGAACTTTCATGACCAGACGTTCCTGCAGGGTTTGGTTGAACCAGCTGTGGTGCACATGTGTCTCAACAGAGGATGATGGTTGTAAGGGACCTCATGTAGGATGGAGAGCCTGCCTACAAGCCGAAAACTTCGTATATACAACCAACCTTTCATGAAGTCTGCAGAATTAAAAACTGATTGGTAGACACTGATAGCTTTGTGGATACTGTTTGTTTACAATCGCGCCCAACGATCCTACTATATGTAATCCGCTAAAGTGTGTGTGTGTGTGTGCGTGTGTGTGTGTGTGTGTCACGAAATTCATAACACCTGTCCCAGTAGCAGAGAAAGCGTTGATTCCAGGAAGTGATGGAGGGGGTGTGACGGGAACACCATTGGTGGGTGACAGGGTGTGATATCAGTTGTATTAGGTTGTCCGGAAAGTTCTTAGCGTTTTGTGCACCTAATCTTTGTACATTCACTGCTGATTAAAAACTCATTCTGCCTTGCTTCTCAGTAGCACATCCTGTAGAGAATTTCTTGCGCTATCTGATGGTATAATTGCCGTTTCACCATTGCTTGATAAACCCTTTTTTCAAGATTTTTTCAAGCATGTGAAAAGAGCACTTCGGACGATTTTTTTCTTCGACTATAAATTGGGGCAATCCGCAATCGAAACAGCTCAACAAATTAACCAGGTGTGGGGCCCAATAGTGCTAAAGAAAGCACTGTGCGGCAATGGCTCAATAAATTTCGCTCTGGAGATTTCAGCCTTGAAGGTGAGCCTCATAGCGGTCGACCTAAAGCAATATCGCTGGAGAGATCTTAGGGGGATTTTGAAGGTTGACCCATCCCAAACAGTTCGAGAGATAGCAGAAGAGCTAGGCCTTGGCAAATCCACTGTTGCAGATGGTCTGGAACGCATTGGGAAGGTGAAAAAACTCGACAATTGGGTGCCCCACAATCGGAGTGACCGGCAGGAATCGGCACGTCTCGAGGTTCCTTCTTCACTGCTTTTGCGCAAAAGAATTGACCCGTTTTTGAACGGATTTGTCACCTGTGATGAAAAATGGATCATGTATGATAACAGGAGACGTTCCGGACAGTGGTTGGATTTGGAGGAACCACCGAGGTAATTTTCAAAGCCGAACCCTCGCGAAAAAAAAATTCTGGTCAGGTTTGGTGGTCATCGGCTGTTGTAATCCACTATAACTTTTCATCACCAGGCCAAACCATCACAGCAGAACCCTACTGTGAACAAACCGACCAAATGTACCGAAAATATTGTCAGCTGCAGCCAACACTTATCAAAAGAAAGGGTCCGATTCTTTTGCATGACAACGCCCGCCCACACGTTTCACAAATCACTATCCATAAATTGAACGAATTGGGAGTTGAAGTTCACCATATTCTCTAGACCTTTCACCAACCGACTGTCACCTTTTCAGACATTTTCAGAACTTCCTTGCTGAAAAATACTTCATCAATTAAGACCAGGCAAAAAAGACCTTCGCAGATTTCGTGGATTCTCGACCACCCAGTTTTTTCTTTGATGGGATTTCTCGACTGCTGCCACATTGGCAAAAGTGTGCTGATTCGAATGGTGCTTATTTGGATTAAATCCGATGAGTGTTAAGAAAGTTATGATCGTTTAAAGTTAAACACCCAAAAACGCTAAGAACTTTCCGGGCGACACCTAATAAGATTCGATAAGAGGCGTCCAAAGGGTCACCCAGTCCATAGTGCGGGCCTACAGCAGCAGTGGGACGTTGGTTCCAAGCAGTGAAATAGGGGTGGGACGAAAACATT